TTGTTATATAGAATTTTAGCTGTTTTAAATTTTAACTTTTCTTACATAGAATTTTAGCTTTGTTATATAGAATGTTACTTTGGCTATATAGAATTTTAGCTTTGTTATATGGAATTTTAGCTTTGCTATATAGAATCTTAGCTTTGTTACATAAAATCTTAGCTTTGTTATATAGAATTTTAGCTTTGTTATATAGAATGTTACTTTGGCTATATAGAATTTTAGCTTTGTTATATGGAATTTTAGCTTTGCTATATAGAATCTTAGCTTTGTTACATAAAATCTTAGCTTTGTTATATAGAATTTTAGCTTTGTTATATAGAATGTTACTTTGGCTATATAGAATTTTAGCTTTGTTATATGGAATTTTAGCTTTGCTATATAGAATCTTAGCTTTGTTACATAAAATCTTAGCTTTGTTATATAGAATTTTAGCTTTGTTATATAGAATCTTAGCTTTACATAACATCTTAGCTTTGTTATATAGAATTTTAGCTTTGTTATATAGAATCTTAGCTTTACATAACATCTTAGCTTTGTTATATAGAATTTTAGCTTTGTTATATAGAATGTTACTTTGGCTACATAGAATTTCAGCTTTGCTACATAGAATGTTAGCTTCGTATCATGTTATCGTGGTCACATTTCCTGCATAGTCTCCTTCGTACTGCCATGACATGAAGCACTTCTACATTGTGCATACATACAAAGTACAGACTGGATGGTGCTTTCTCCGGCATCAATAAGGTAATTTCCCAGCTTCAAGTGATGTTTTGTGCTCCATATTCTCTGGATAATAAGAGCGTAGTATAAAGCAGTAAGAAGGTTAAACAAATGTTATGTACTTGTAATAAACGGTGTATAAGGAAGAGTTGAGTCGTCCAGCTTTGTTCTGGGGGACTGTATATCATGTAGAGGTATTCTTACTAATCGGTTATATTGGCGAATAAGAGAAAACACAGCCTTTGTTAATGTGACAGCTGCTTGTCTGTGTGGGACCAGTGTATAGGGAGACTTCTTAGAGAAGAGATGGTTCCATGGAAGTGGAGTGTTCTTTGTGCCATGCCTCCCACCCCTGACACAACACCCGGAGTACACATATACAGGTGTGCCGGCCATAATCCACCCTCCTCCTCCTCACAAACTAACCAGGTTAATCGGAATCATGCATTATACACCACCAGCGAAAATCACGTCCACGCTAATTATTATTTACAGACACTGTAATTAGACCGATGTGTGTTTAATGTGCTGGAGATTGGACCTCGGGTGTTTGTTTTCAGCGGTCACTTTCAGTTCCTTTCACATGGATAGGCAAACACTCGCCGATCTACTACACGGCTTGCAATTACCACCTGTAGTAGTATAAAGGTTCTGACCATTCACCACCCCGGACAGTGTATTAGACCATCATCATCATCACCTTTCATACACGCAGAGATCGTCCACAGAGTATCAGATCATCATCACCTTCCATATACACATTTCCCTATACATAGACAACTGCTTATTATATGGTAAAATATGACGCTCTATGTATTATAGGGGTGTCAGGCCAGATATACATTGTACAAGTGTCGCCTGTCATGACATCAGCGTTCATTATTAGCCTAAAAGTAGTATATGAGTATGAATCCCCAGAGATCCGATCTCTGATCAGGAGACAGCTCACAGGCCCCCAATCATGACCACTTGTTCTTCTTTATCCTTAGCATGTTAGTGCATATAGCTATCTATCTATCTATCTATCTATCTATCTATCTATCTATCTATCTATCTATCTGTCTATCTATATACATATGTGAATCTATCTATCTATCTATCTATCTATCTATCTATCTATCTATCTATCACTATTTTTCTATCCATCTATAATCTATCTATCTATCTATCTATCTATCTATCTATCTATCTATCTATCTATTTACAGGTTCTATCTTTCCATCTATCTATCTATCTATCTATCTATCTATCTATCTATCTATCTATCTATCTATCTATCTATCTATCTATCTATTTACAGGCTCTATCTATCTATCTATCTATCTATCTATCTATCTATCTATCTATCTATCTATCTATCATCTATCTATTTACAGGCTCTATCTATCTATCTATCTATCTATCTATCTATCTATCTATCTATCTATCTATCTATCTATCTATCTTTACAGACTCTATCTCTCCATCCATCTATAATGTATCTATCCATGTTTCCATCTCTCTCTCTCTCTCGTCAGTCTAGTGTGTGGTATTTGCCCTCCCTGTGTATGTAATGGTGGCAGTTGTGACATTAGTAGGAATACTCTTGCTTTCACACGCCCTCACATAATGAATGGTTGTATGTAGATGTGTAAAGAAAATACAAAGTGTATCTAGCAGCCTGGGACAAGACTTGAAGGACGGTGCCCATAACGCGGAGTGTAATACACTTAACAGTCCGTTAACGAGCGTTCCAATTGGACTCGGGTTTAAGCTAAAGACGTAATTAGCAGTCCCGGTGACGTCATAGGTCTCCCCCCGGACGATGTGAGTTGGGGCTGAGCAAGGCTGTGTGAGTGGCAGCGAGGGAGGGCTAGGGACTGCTGGACCAGGAATGAAGTTGTACTAAGTAGAGCGCTAAGACAGGAAGAAGTTAATGGGCTACCTGAACTGACAATTAAACACTCTGCATTCTACAGCAACTTCACCAGAGGAGTCTGAACGGGACCTGATCTCCGCAGGATACAACACACCAGTCAAGTGAGTGCCTCTTATTGGGGTGGGGGATGCTAGCTGTACACTTTGCAAAGTCTACAATCTCCTTCCACAGGTTGTATGAGGGAGAAGCTGCAAACCTCCGCATCTTCCATGATGCCCACAATGAAAGTGACGCTGTACAGACCCCTGGTTAGATCATACACCTGCATGGTACTGGAATGGCCCAGTGCATGCTACAAATGCAGGTTTAATACACCTCACCTCTGTATATGACAGTGACATCCTATGGGAATTGTTCAAACACATTTGGACAATTATAAATATGAACTGAAAAACAATTCTGTTGGGGTGGCAGGACAAAAAATATTATAGCTTGGTACATTTTATTCATTTCTATGTATGTCTATAAACACCAACTTGCGCAATGGATTTTTGTGATCACAAAAATGGTGTTGGTGTTTATAGACATACATAGAAATGATTAAAAAATACCAAGCTGGACTGCACAGCTTTGTGTGTAAGACTGACTCCATGTACTAAAAGTCTACACCGACTGAGGAAACCACATGTGATAAAGAAAAGGGGCTGATAATATGCTGTGGATAGAAAGTTATACAGAGGGAGAGAGAGAAAAACGTTTATAATATGCTCTATATATATATATATATATGTGTGTGTGTGTGTGTGTGTGTGTATATATATAATGCTATTGATATCAAAGTTATACATATAAAGAGACTAATATGCTTATAATATGTTGTTGATATAAAGTTATAGTTATAAAGAGGCTTATAATATGCTATAGATATAACGTTTCACATATAAAAAGGCATATAATATGCCATGGATATATAAAGGCTTATGATATACTGTTGATATATAGTTATAGATATAAAGGGGCTTATAATATGCTGTTGATATATACAGGCTTGTAATATGCTATTTAAATAAAGTTAATAATATACAGAGGCTTATAATACCCTATTCATATAAAGAGGCTAGAATTCGCTACTGATATAAAGTTATATATCTGTAAATATGTTATTACATATATAAAGGTTTTTATATTCTATCAACATAAATTTATAAGTATTTAAATAGGCTATTGTGAAGCTTATAATATGCTATTTATTTAAAGGTATAGATAAAATGAAGCGTATAATCCGCTTATATA